ATGCTTACAGCTTGACTAAGTGGTTCCTCTTAGATTACTTAGATGAGATGATTTGTTGAAGTGTCAGTAGTTGGTAGTCATAAATATGAATGGATATAGCCACTTAGAAGTTTGAGTGATTCTTTTATTTCAGGTTAAAACACTAACCCTAGTAGTTACTGTGCATGGTGAGGACTTTTGACCCTTTAATTATGACTTTACCCTCTTCTCGCCAGCCATGTAGAAACATATGGACTCATCACTGAATTGCTCGGCTATCACGTGCTTGTTTTTTAATTTTTTGGGCTGCATCATAAAGCATGTGGGATCTTAGTTCCCCAACCAGGGATCAAACCCATGTCCCCCGCACTGGAAGCATGGAGTCTTAACCACTGGACTGCCAGGGAAGTCCCCCATATGCTGGATTTATTAAGCAACTTGTTATACGGGTGAAACTGAGGCAGACACTAATATCTTTCTACTATTTTCATACCCTCTGGGAGTGGAAATGACCACCCACTCCAGTATTCTTGCATGGGAAATTTCATGGACAGAGGAGCCTGGTGGGCTACAGTCTGTGCTGTCACAGAGTCAGACACTACTAAGGATGTATGCATGCATTTTCATGAGAGAAGGAAGAGAACTTTTGTAAATCCAGTGATCCTTGGCACATCTGAAACAAACAAGCCCAAGCCTGAGGTGCTGAAAGCTGTGACCACAAATGGTCCCCCAACTGCATTTGCCCTCATCCGGAGCACACACAGATCCATCTGTGTCAACACGGGTCCTTCTCTTCTCCTTCCCCCTCTCCAAGGTCGCTCCACATGAATACAGGTTTGTGTGCATGCATGCGTACTCAGTCATGTCCAACTCTTTGCAACCCCATGGACTATAGCCCACCAGGCTCCTGTGTCCATAGAATACAGGTTTGGAAAACAGTAACAGCCGAACACTCAGCCTGCCTTCTCTGGATGAGTGAGTTTCTCTAACCATGACACTCCCCAGTGCCACAAAGAAGCTGTTGTCAGGTTGTGGAACCTGAAGCCACAGCTCCCTTACCAGTTGTTCTTTGATGCATCACTTCAGGAGCCGTGAAACAGATGAGATCTAAGGGCAAGCACAGTTTTCCACACAGTTCAATGAAACAATCTGTCCCTTGAAAGCTCCTTTATTTCCAGGGGTACTTTCCATACCAGTGTGTTGAAAATGTCACTGAATCAAGCTTTTTATTTAACTTGTCAGTGTATCCAAAGTGTTCCGCAGAAGCTCCGCGGGGGATTTTCTTGTCTTTTAAGCCTACACATTGCCACACAGGTTTTCCCCCCTAATTAGCACTGACAGGTTCTCTTTAGTGCAAATATCCCCACTTAGAGCACAAGAGAACAGGTGGGTGGAAACAGATTTCGATCATTTGTTAGACACAGAAAGAGAAGCCAACAGTGCTAATGGGCGTATGGCTGAGATGGGAATATTGTACGAATGAGTCCAGGGCAGTGAAGTCATACAAGTCAACAGTGGGTTGAGGTATTAACACAGGCTGCTTATTCTGAGAAAACTGGAACATGTTGGATCCTATGGGGACTGAGGATTTTTTTTCCGAATTCAGAAAACTAACACACATTGCTGAATTCTAAGTTGGGCTGGTAGACATATTATCCTAAGGCAAACATTACTCACTTCTTGGATGTCTTGGCTAGTGTGTTTCATGGTGTCTGGGTAATTTTCAGAGTACACCTTCCTTGACTAAACTGATCTTTATGGCCTTAAACTCCAGATGCCGATTCAGTTTTTTGCCTTTGCCCCATCCCAATGTCCTCAAATTTCCAAAAGACCACAAGTCCACCCTGATATCACTAGAAATTCACTCACTTAGCCTAAGGTAAAACTCAAATTCAGTGTTGGGTGATTTTGTAGTGTCAACTCTGTCCTTTGACCCAGAGGGTTCATACCTATGTAGTGTGATTTTAAGATTTTATACCCTGTCTGTCATCCAGATTATATGAACAGCTTGCCAGAAGATGCCAGGTACCTGCTATTGGAGTGAAGAATTATTTTGATCAGATCCAAATAAAAAAAGAATCGATGCTTTCAAATTGTGGTGCTGGAGAAGACTTTTGAGAGTCCCTTGGACTGCAAGGAGATCAAACCAGTCAATCCTAAAGGAAGTCAACCCTGAATATTCATTGGAAGGACTGGTGCTGAAGCTGAAGTTCCAGTACTTTAGCCACCTGATGCGAAGAGCTGACTCATTGGAAAAGATCCTGATGCTGGTAAAGATTGAGGGCAGGAGAAGGGGGTGACGGAGGATGAGATGATTCGATAACATCACCAACTCAATGGACATAAATCTGAGCAAACTCTGGGAGACAGTGGAAGACAGAGGAGCCTGGTGTGCTGCAGTCCATAGGGTTGCAGAGTCAGACATGACTTAGTGACCGAACAACAACAACAACCAAGAGTTGCACACCAAGACCTGGTAGCCATACCTAGCTGCAGGGAGTCTGGGAAATGTAGTCCTTAGCTGGATGGCTATCTACCCAGTTTAAACATAGAGGTTTCTAGTCTTAAAAAGGAGAAGAAAGAATAAATATTGGGGACATTTACCAGTCAAATCTCTGGTCACCCAAATGTCCATGAATACCACTTCCCCTAGGGAAACAATCCAGAGAGCCATGCAATCACTTTATCTGAGAACCCAGCATCCCTTTGTGATGCATAGGCTGACTTTTGATGTGACTTCTCATGGTCTGGCAACCTACGAACTTGACAAATGATCAGCCTTCTCATCATCTAAAATGCTGTGATGAGGAGGGCTAGGATAACCACACTTAAAGCTCCCATTTTGGAAAAAGGAAAGACTTGGAAACACATGATAATTATTGTACCTGGCAGTTATCAGATTCTGTTGCACAGCAGTTGTGAAAGTTTCCTTCCTGGCAGTGAAGTGCCTCTGGGTTCTACTCTGAAGTAACTCATGTATCTTATTCTGGAAGGCCACACTTGGAATGTGTTGGAATGCGTACCCTTCCTGGGGGTTGCATAGTTTTTTATTGCCTAATTCCTACTGGTACAGATTGGAGGGATTAGGGGTTGTTTCAGGGTTTAAATAGGTTTGAAGATTGTAAGTCCACCAAAAAAAATTAGAAAACTAATAGTTTATTTGCTTTTAATCAATTCCATGTAAAATTGACCCTGGTCACCACTGCTTTCTTTGTGCCCTGGACTACAGAAACAGGAAGAGGGGAAGGGGAAGGGGAAGGGGAAGGGGAAGGGAAGATGCTTCCTTTTATGAATGTGCCTGAGATGTCACACATTACAGTTGAGCCTTGAAAAACACACTTCAAACTGTGTAGATCCACTTATACGTGGATATTTTTTCAATAGTAAATACTACATATCCTGCAGTTGGTAGAGTCTTTGAATGTGGAACCATGGATGAAAGTGAAAGTGAAAGTCGCTCAGCTGTGTCTGACTCTTTACAACCCCATGGACTATACAGTCCATGGAATTCTCCAGGCCAGGACACTGGAGTGGGTAGCCTTTCCCTTCTCCAGGGGATCTTCCCAACCCAGGGATCAAACCCATGTCATCTGCATTGTAGGAAGATTCTTTACCAGCTGAGCCACAAGGGAAGCCCAAGAATACTGGAGTAGGAGCCTATCCCTTCTCCAGAGGACCTTCCTGATCCAAGAACTGAACCCAGGTCTCCTGCATTGCAGGTGGATTCTTTACCAACTGAGCTATCAGGGAACCGTGGATATGGAGGGTTAACTGTACGTAATACTCACATATCAACTGTGAAGAGGGATCAGCATCCCTAACCCCTATGTTGTTCAAGGGTCAACTATACTTCTTTTTTTTTTTTTTTTTTTGACCCAAAGAACTACACGATATTTATTTGTTTTAATTTTCTTAAAGTTACTAATGCCCATAGTTTAAAGAATCAAGTAGAGATCATTTTACAAGGCTTATAAGAAAACATGCAGTTTGTCGCCTATGCACCTCATCTGGCCCTCCTCACAAGGAGCCACTTTCACCTCTTTAAGCTGCTTCTTCTGATATTGAAGGAAATCGGAATGTCATCCCAAAATATGCCTCTTTGACATAATTCTGCTCAGTCGCATCCAACCCTTTGTGGCCCCACAGACTACAGCCCACCAGTCTCCTCTGTCCACAGGAATTCTCCAGATAAGAATACTGGAGCAGGTTGCCATTTCCTTTTCCAGGGGGCCTTCCCAACCCAGGGATTGAACCTGTGTCTCCTGCGTCTCCTGCATTGTCAGGTGGATTCTTTACCACTGAGCCATCTGGGAAACCCTTGACATAACTGAGCTAAAGGCAATTAAGCAGAAAATGCAAGAAAAGTTCTCTCTTCCCTTCCCCTCTTTTCTGCCTTGAGGCAGAATCTGGAGACAGATTCTTGTCAGCCCAGCAGTGCACCAGGGAACTTGCAAATAAATCTTACTTCATTAGTTCCCTTCATATATCTACCTCCCTACAGTTTGCCATCCTTGGAAGCCTGAAACTGTTTTCCTTTGTCCTGTCATTTCTCCACAAATGTATTGTTTGTTGTAAATGCTATATAAAGTGAAAGTCACTTAGTCATGTCCAACTCTTTGCAACCCCATGGACTATACAGTCCATGGAATTCTCCTGGCCAGAATACTGGAGTAGTTAGCCTTTCTCTTCTCTAGGGTATCTTTCCCAGCCAGAGTTCTAAATTGCTATCTTGAGTTACTTTTCACGGAAGTTTCTTGGGCACGATGCTTGCCACCTGCATTAACACATTTTGGTTTTTCTCTGGTTAACCTGTCTTATTGTCACAGAGCCCCTGTGAGGTCCTCAGAGGTGAAGTTCTGCCTCCTCCACAGTATCTACCCCCACCCTTGGCGTTGTGTGCGTTTTCACAAGAAGCATGCACTGCTTTGTTGCTCCCATGGAGTTGTCACGACACAGTCAGGGTGGATCGCCAGGTCCGGGTCAGGACCAGGATGCACAAACACTGCTAGGTGCCCTGGAGGTCACTGGGCACAGGCCACCAGCTCCTCCAGCGCTTGCTCGCGGCGGTTGCCATGGACCAGTAGCACTTCCTTGATGCGGTCCTGCTGGAAGCCCATGTCGCTGAACTGCTCCGAGAGGCGCAGGAAGTCCCCCGCCTGGCTCTCGGAGAACTGGAACATCTCCATGGCCTCATCCACCAGGCCCTCCTCGTAGCCCTGTCGCAGCAGCCGGTCACAGGCGCTAAGGTAGCTGAGAAACTGGCTCAGGCTCTGCCGTCCCGTCTTCTGCAGAGCCACGATAGCCCTGTGCAGGGGGTACCCCAAGGCGACCACCGGCCCGATGAGGTCCTGCTCCTCCTGGCTCAGGGCAGACAGCAAGTCGGCAGAATCAGGGTGCGGTCTGTGGGCTGCACAAGGCTGGGCCACCTGTCCGGGAGGCGGCAGGCAGGTGTGCGGGCTGAGGGACGCAACTGTGGGCTTGTGGCTCCGCAGAGGGGGCATGGCGCCAGCCGTGGAGGGCCGCGGGGGCAGCTCGGGGGTGCTGGGGAGCGACGGCTTGGGGCCCAAGGGCGGCGTGCGGGCGCTGGGGAGCGAGGCCTTGGGGACAGGGGACGGCGGGGACTGCATGGGAGCACTGCGGGGTGGAGGCGCCGGGCCCTGGGGCGGCGCGGGGCCGGGGCAGAGGCTCAGAGCTCGGTGGCGGAGGCGGTGCAGGAGGCTGCGGGGGTGGGAGGCGAGCCGGCCCTCGGAGAGCCGCCGCCTGGCCCCAGCCAGCTCCGACCTCATGCCGCGCAGCACGTCCAGCGAGCACCGGTGCTGGCCCAGGCGGGGGCTCGCCGCGGAGCTGGGCTGGGGGCTGCAGGGCTCCAGCTCTTCCTCCACGGCAGAGGCTGCTTCCTCATCCTGGTCCTCCTCCTCCTCCTTCTCCTCCTCAGGCTCAACTATACTTCCACTTAATGGTGTATCAGAACTTCCTCACACCAGGTTGCACAAGCTCACAAGAGGCAATTGTTAAATTTTCGAGAATTTTGTGAGTTGGTTGCAAAAGATAGCCATTGCTAAAAATTAAATATATAAATTTACCATTAAACAAATTGTATTTGAAGAGCAAATAACTAAAGTGTGTTTTCCCTCAATTATTTTACTACACTTTACTATTATCTATGCTACTGATGTTATTTGTATCTGTCTATCCACATGGTTGGAATACAATATAATGTTGTTGCAAATCATTTCCAACTCTGCCATTCAATGACACTGTAGATTGAAATCAGATACGCTTGGAGTATTTACACCATAGAAATTAGCAAATGCTACAGATCTGGGCTCCTCCTCCTCTACACCCACATGTGCTCGGACTCTTCATGGCCCTATTGACTGTAGCCCGCCAGGCTCCTCTGTCCATGGGATTCTCTAGGCAAGAATACAGGAGTGGGTTGCCATTCCCTCCTCCAGTGGATCTTCCCAACCCAGGGATCAAGCCTGTATCTCTTATGTCTCTTGCATTGGTAGGCAGGTTCTTTACCACTAGTACCACCTAGGAAGTTCCCTACACCCAAGAGCTAGTGGTTAAACATTTACCAATACACAATCACTTCCATTATATCTCTTTGGCCAGAATTTACTCACATGGCCACACCTACTTACAAGGGAAGCTGGGACATATAGTCTTTAGCTGGGTGACCATGTACCTACCTATAATTGAATGATTCTATTATAAGGGAGAAGCGGAGAATGCTTTTTGGAAGACCATGAGCACTCACATGTTTTGAAGTAGAAGAGGAAGCTCTGGTCAGGTTTCCAGAACTGAGATGAACTCTATCAGTAGTTCTTTGTAGAGATGGTAATAAACTCAAAATAGAGATTTTAGTGCTTGTGTAGTCCACCACTCCAGGGTCAGTGAAAATGAGTGATTTCAGTTTAGAATAGTGGACGGAGCACATAAGACAAGCCTCCTCTGTCCTGTGTCCAGTTGCCAGAAAATGCAAAATATATATTAAAATATTTATTAAAATTTATAAATGTGCCAGAAAACAAGAATGTGAACCCTTTGTACCTCCAAAAACTCTGAGGAATCACTGAGAGGCAGAAAGATGATGTATTAATAGGATTTAAGTATGTACCTAAAACCCAAAATATGCTTGAGCAATGTGGGTACTGTAAAAACTGGAAACCACTCACAGAGAACTAGTTTCAGGGAAATACAAATTTGAACATTGAGTATACTCTGGAATAAAAGAAAGTCCATACTTTTGATTTGGTAAGGAATTGGGATATGGAGGTATTGAGCCCCTGCCTCTTCCTTTCTCAATGTGTTCTTATGAAGGGCAAATTTTGTTGTAAAGTTTTAAGTCTGTGAGTATTTTTTTTCAGCTGATACACCAAGCTCTACAATTTAGTACCCAACAGAGACTCCTAAGGCCAGAAAAGATATGACCAGTGACTGAACGCAATGCTTATCTTGGGTATTTGCCTGCAGAGTAAACATTCATGCAAACTGTTTGCTCTTTCTATATTAAAGTATAATGAGGATATTTGGACTAGGTAATATGGTCAGAGACTTGTCTTATGCATATATGGCTTATATTAAATGATTCTATCCAAACATTTTTCTTTAAAATCATGTTAGAACCAAAGCACGTGGGCGCACTCACACACACACACACACACACACACACACACAGTCAGAAGTAAAACTATTCCCAGAATGATGGATGCTAAACTGTTTTATTCTTCCTCACAAAAAATTAAAGTGGTAGGTGTCTGTTTTTAGCAGCATTTTCCACAGGAGATCAGGAAAGCCATTAGAGGGTTATGGATGAATTCTTGGTATTTGATGATAAAAATGACTAACGTGTCTATGGTTTTAACAGAGCTGGAAAAGGCTGTACAGATAAACAGTACTTTAGGATATTGGACATTTGGATTCTGGAAGGAAGAAATGTAAAATTACAAACATATTCAAATGATTTATTTTTTCTTTTTTTTTAAGGAGTAAATATTGTTTAAAATTTTTTTTAACAGTAGTCCTTATTGGTTGTTTTATGTATAACAGTGTGTATATGTCAATCCCTAATTCCCAGTCTATCCTTTTCCCCTCCTCCAACCATAAATTCATTCTCTAAGACTATAAGTCTGTTTCTGTTTTGTGCATAAGTTCATTTGTATTATTGTATTTGTAATTTTTTGATCATTGGACACATATGTCTAATACTATTAATTGAGAACCTACTATATGCAAAATGCCACTAAGCCCTAAAGCAAACACAAGGAGCTTGCAATCTAGAGGGGAATGTAAGAGAGACATTTCAGCTCATTTTTTTTTGTAAAAGTATAGATAGCAAGTACATATGGACTGTCCCACATTTAAAACAGGTGCTGTCATTCTCAACAAGGTGGGAATTCCTAAGTTAGGAGATTTGTAATACTAGGCAAGAGAGCTAGCATTCCACTATTTCTTCAGTATTCAAAGAGCACAGCCTACATGTCCTAGTTTAGAGAGAGATAAATCCTTTATAATAAGCCTGTTTTTCCCCTAAATGGGCTGAATTAACATAAGAGGGAGAAAAGACAGGACTGAACTGACAATTTTCCACATAAAAAAACTTCGCAATGTTGCTTTTAACTCTGACAGGAAGCAAGTTTAGTAATGTATGTGTATTTCCAGTCTTTTCCCCTTATTTCTCCTTTTGAGAATCCTGGGTTTTTGAAGCATCAGTGCTGGAGTATGAAGTGGAGAAAAGAATTTGAGAAAGTGAAAACACTTATTTATATGTGAAAGGTATAGAGCTACTTCCAGAAGATGAGAATAGTCTGGAAAGGCTGGCGATCTGTGGAGAAAGAAAGGCACCTGGGAGATTCATGAGAAGAGAGGGAATAAGGAAAGCAACCACAAAGGAACTAGCAGAATGATGCCTTGAAAAAGGACTTTGGGATTGACATATATATGCTATTGATACTGCATGATAGCATAGATAACTAATGAGAACCTATTGTGTAGCATGGGGACCTCTACTTAACTGCTCTGCAGTGACCTAAATGGGAAGGAAATCCAAAAAAGAGGGTATATATGTATAACATATAGCTGGTTCACTTTTCTGTACAGCAGAAACTAACACAACATTTTAAAGCTGCTATACACCAATAACATTTTTAAAAAAACATCCAACCAGGACCTTGGCTGCCCAAGGTCACAGAATTCCAGAGGCAGGGCCAATTTGCTGCTTTAGAAAGCAGAAGGTATTGAAAGGAAACCCCAGTGGAGAACCTGGAAGAAGGGAAGAAGTATTATTTCTTTTCTTTCTACCTCTGTGCCGCTTGACTGGCTAGAATATTCATTTACTAGAAAAGTTTTTGTTAAAATCTAATAGAGTGTTTTAAACATTGAGGAAAAAAGGACTTTGGAGAAGTCTTATTCCCTGGTGAGGTATAGTTCTACTTTACTGATTCCTGAAGAGACATCAGGACATGCTTTCCTGGCTTTACAAGGCTTTTTAGAATCAGACTTGTGGGAGTTTTGCCCATGTTTTGTTATTTGCTTGTTTTGGGTATCACTGAGGGCTTCCCAGGTGGCTCAGTGGTAAAGTGCAGGAAATGCAGGAGACACAGGTTTGATCCCTGGGGTGGGAAGATCCCCTGGAGGAGGGAATGGCAACCCACTCCAGTGTTCTTGCCTAGAGAATCCTATGGACAGAGGAGCCTGGCAGGCTACAGTCCATGGGGTCACAAAGAGTTGGACCTGACTGAGCATCTGAGCACAGCACAGCCTCTACCATATGGGCCTTAAGCAAGGGGTGAGAATAATCATGTTAATTGAGAATAAACAGGAAAAATTCTGCCACCCCCAATGATGTACCCTGAGGGGCCTCAGGATGGAAAAGAATAGGATACTGGCCCTAGAGAGCTAAGATGCATATCAAAGGAATGATTTCCCTGAGCCCAGACTCTTGTATCTTCCCATACATAGAATAACCCTAAATTCAGTAACTTGAGATATCTGGTTTCCTTTTGTTAACTAACACTAACCTTTTGATGTTCCTACTACTTGGTTTTTGTTGCAAAACTGTATATCCTGGCTCCTCCCTTATCACTTCAGAATAGTCCCTTAGAGCTACCTGACAGCTTGTCTCCTATGCCTAAGTCCTCAGTATGTCCACTGAATAAAACATAATTCTCAACTTGTAGGTTGTATAATTTTTTTTTTAAATTTATTTATTTATTTATTTATTTTATCACAACCATAGTGTATCTTTTTTTTTTTTTACATGTATTCCCCATCCCGGTCCCCCCTCCCACCTCCCTCTCCACCCAATCCCTCTGGGTCTTCCCAGTGCACCAGGCCCGAGCACTTGTCTCATGCACCCAACCTGGGCTGGTGAACTGTTTCACCCTAGATAATATACGTGTTTCAATGCTGTTCTCTTGAAACACCCCACCCTCGCCTTCTCCCAGAGTCCACAAGTCTGTTCTATACATAGGAGTCTCTTTTTCTGTTTTGCACA